CCCCGGGGCAACCGAAACGCCGAATTGGAGGCGGCGGCAACGGAAGGCCCCGCGGTGGGTGACGATGGTCTGGGCTGTAGCCGCATCGTCGTCTACGGGGAGCTGCTGGTAGGCCTGTGCCATATCTAGCTTGGCGAAAATGCGGCCTTGCCCTCAAGAGTGGAGTAGGTGTTGCACTACTGGAACCGGGTATGGGTTTGCCTGCAGGGCCAAATTGATGGTCGACTTATAGTCGGCACATATTCTCACCGATCCGTCGGGTTTGACCGGGAGCCAATGGGGCGTCGAGTAGCTCGACCAATCGGGGCGAGGATTGAACCGGCTCCGCCCGGGAACCAATCGGAAGGGAGTTCTTTATCCCCGCGCTTGTATTTCCCGCGCTAGTATTCAACAATTTCCCTCGCCCCTTTGTTTTCTGTATAGCCTGAACCAGCATGCAGGCCAAAGAGGTTGTGAATAGAGGAAAGTAGCTTGTAAAGGAGGTTTGTAAAAAAATTACATTGCAATGTAAAGACTTTCTGCTCCAAGTAAAAATTAAAAAATTGGTAGGAGTAGAAAAGTAACCAAAACTTTTTCTTGTTACAGGAGGGGAGGGAGTTAAAGGAGGAGAAAGCAGTTAATTTGAACCTTTAATCTAACCATCTAAATATTTAGAAATCATATTACACATTTTATATATTCAGCTGCATTTAAAAAAAGCTCTACAGTATGTAATAATTCATAACTAATACTCATATAACAAACAAAGGTTATGCCTTTGTAATAAGTAAATAAAAATAGGTTTTGTCAAAAGTTTAAGTTGTTTGTGCTTATTGCCTGGGAATATAACACCACAGTATCTTGAATAACAATTTCCCAATATCCTCCTTGCTTAATGTTTTGCTATTAAAAAGCCTCTAATTATAAATGGGAAAGCATGGGTTGATTATAATTAAATCATGGCATTACGTGCACTGAAATTTTCCTTGAATAAGGCAGAGCTAGTGCACTGTGCAATCTAGGCCTGGAAGCAACCTCAGTTTTTGTCAATCATTTCCATTTGAGAGAGCCTCCATTAGTGGCTTATAAAGTAATTTACTTTTTTCCTGGCTACTTTGGAGGGTTCTGCTATCAGTGAGATGACAGTTCAATCTAAAATAAGATTGAGGAAAGGCCTCATTGCCCATTCAAACGTGTGAAATGCTAGGCAGAATGTTGGGATTGGATTTTGGAATGCTGGAATGAACAATCAATAGTGTTTTTATCTTTTGTTGACATGTTGTCCTGTAGGGATTGTCCTATCTTGTGGATGATCCCCTGTTATCTGTACGAACTTCCACCTTCAAGGTATTTCTTTCTTAATTCAATCTGTTTACTGCCATCTCTGTGCCATGTCTCAAGTGTTGCTTCCTTCCTTGTGATGATTCTGCTTTTAGCAGATGGTGCATGTTGGAGCTTTTTTATTGTGGTGGCTTTGAGCACTGTTAAGACTATTGAATGAGGGAGAGCAATTGCTTTATCTATTTTTAAAAGCTCAAATATGCTAAATGTGAATGTTTAATTATTTGATGTGGATGTGGTAGCTTTGATATATGCTAAGATGTTTGTTTTTCCTTTTAACTCTTATCAAGAGTAAAGTTCCCATTCATTTCTCACCTATTTGCTGAATACCTATATTATGCATTCCTGATCTGCCTATCATTATTTTTTTAGATTGCAAACTATAACAATTGTAGTCCAAGATTTCTACTTTTATGTTCTGGATTTATATAAAACATAGTTGAGAATTGTTGTGGCCTGTTGAAAAATTTATGGTAAGTCAATAGAGCTCAGTGTATGAAGACATTTCATTTTAGGATGAAGTCACAAACAAGAAACTTACAACGTAATGTAAAAGGCATCTGTACATACAGATCTGGACATGTACATACAGAAATATATTTCTCTATTCTTAGGATAAAAAAAGAGTTTCAAATTTCTCATAGAAATATTTCTAATCCTTTAAGAGGTGAGATCATGTGACATGCTCATGGTGGACAGACTTGGAGAGGAGATCTAGCATGCTACAAATGGCAACAGTTATTTTCACTACTTGGAAAATGTAGTTGCACTTGCTGATTCCTGAATTTTGTTCTTTCATTGATTTATATCTTCAGGGGAGAGGCTTGAGGTTGAGATATATTTCAAGCTATCTGCCCTACGATGATAGCCATACTTTGAATTGACAGGACACCAGAGAATCAGACCACCCATAAGAAGCTGACAACATTTTAGATAGCCTTCAAAATTGAAGACATCTGAATTATCTTAAATGAAAATTGACATATGGTTTATTACTTTTGGCATTCTTGTAAACAAGTCTCAAAAACAAACAATTATTTATGTGTTCTGCGCTACTAGTAACCATTTGTTAATAAAATTTCATTCCAGAGTTTTATTCAAATATATCCAATGGTCTTTTTCTGAATGTTCAAATAGGCAGCAATTATATATAGCTAAAAGACTACCCCCACTTTAATAGGTCACCCACCAAAGTTGAATTAAATGCTTTTCATTTCAAACCTAGTGAACAAGAATTCCCTTGAAGAATACCTTCTGATGCTAACTCTCAAAACATGAATTTAAATTATTTGCATGAGTATTTATAGGACAACATGTTCTTGGGTATACCCCTATTTATAGACTATTTAGATTTTTCTCAGAGACTTTGGATAATTATGTTCCATTCAAAAGATGGTCAAAAGCATAGATGAGCTGTTTTTATCATAATATACAATTAGTATTTTTAATAACCCCAAACTATCAAGCTATTAAAGGACAGCTTAAATAATGAACTTTATTTTTTGCTTCAAATAATGACAATCTTTGATTGTGTACCTTACAAATATTCTGGACTGTTTATGTACTATTTTCCAGGGAAAAACAACTTGCTCTAGGCATCAAAAAGATTAGTTTAGGCCTACAGAAAATATATATAAGGGTACAAAATTGAATTGGCCCAATGAAGTTTATGTTCAAATATTCAATAAGATTATTTGATTGCTATCAACAAATCCAAGTTACGTCTCGAGTCAAAATCAAAAACTCAAATCAAACATCACATTGAACTAAACATTTTAATTGATAAAAACTGTCAAACTGAATTAAATCATCTTAGCTTCCTGGACTGATATTGGCATTGAAGCCAGTCATTTCAGTAATCCTAATTGAATAAACTATGTCTATCAAAAAACAACCTATGCTAACTTAATGTTCTATTACTAAAGTAACAACTCAACCTTCCACAGGTGCAGTTGTGTAAAAGCATTATTCAAATGGATAAAACAGTCCAATCTATCAAAAAGATCATCACAAAAATTAGATTAGGAACACAAATTGAAATAGGGAAGAAAATGGTGAGTACCTGTTTACCCTAGACGAGTTCAAATCACCAGGACCGGACGGATTGCACCCCAGTGTTCTGAAAGAACTAGCAGATGAGATCTCAGAACCACTGAACTATATCTTTCAGAGATCCTGGAGCACCGGGGAACTGCCAGAGGACTGGAAAAGAGCTGAAATGGTTCGCATCTTCAAAAAAGGAAAAAAATAGATCCAGGAAACTATAGACCTATCAGGCTGACATCAATACCAGGGAAGATTCTGGAAAAGATAATCAAGCAACGAAATAGCGAACACTAGAAGTAAACAAAGTAATAGCCAAAAGCCAACATGGGTTTGTCAAAAACAGATCTTGCCAGACTAATCTTATTGCATTCTTTTACAAAGTGACAAAATTAGTGGATCAGAGGAATGCCGTCAATATAGTTTACTTGGACTTCAGTAAGGCATTTGATAAGGTAGACCATAACCTACTACTAGATAAAGTAGAAGAATGTGGGTTAGACAGCATCATCATCAGATGGATTTGTAACTGGCTGACCAACCACACTCAACGTGTAGTCCTCAATGGAACTGCATCTACATGGAGGGAAGTATGCAGTGGAGTACCCCAAGGCTCTGTTTTAGGCCCAGTACTCTTCAACATCTTCATCAATGATTTGGATGAGGGAATAAATGGGGAACTCATCAAATTTGCCAATGACACCAAGCTAGCAGGAATAGCCAACACTCCAGGAGATAGGCTTAAGATACAGAAGGTTTTTGACAAACTTGAACATTGGGTACTATCTAATAAAATGAAATTCAAGGTGAAAAGAGTAAGGTTCTGCATTTAGGCAAGAAAAATGAAATGCACAGGTACAGTATAAGTGGTACCTTGCTCAATAATAGTAACTGTCAGAGGGATCTTGGAGTCCTAGTGGACAATCATTTAAATATGAGCCAGCAGTGTGCAGAAGCTGCCAAAAAAGCCAACACAGTTCTAGGCTACATAAACAGAGGAATAAAATCAAGATCATATGAAGTGTTAATACCACTTTATAATGCCTTGGTTATGCCACACTTAGAATATTGCATTCAGTTTTGGTTGCCACGATGTAGAAAAGATGTGGAGACTCTAGAAAGAGTGCAGAGAAGAGCAACAAAGATGATTAGGGAACTGGAGACTAAAACATATCAAGAACAGTTGCAGGAACTGGGTATATCTAGTTTTATGAAAAGAAGGACTAGGGAGACATGATAGCAGTGTTCCAATATCTCAGGGGTTGCCACAAAGAAGAGGGAGTCAAACTATTCTCCAAGGTACCTGAGGGTAGAACAGGAAGCAATGGGTGAAAACTAATCAAGGAGAGAAGCAACTTAGAACTGAGGAGAAATTTCCTGATAGTTTCCTGCCTAGGCAGAGGGTTGGACTAGAAGACCTCCAAGGTCCCTTCTAACTCTGCTATTGTATTAAACAAGTACAAACACATTGTAGCAACCCAGGATACCAGAAAAATAGAAACCGACTGTTCAGTTTCCCATACAACTTTATCAAAAAGTGCCTGACCATTCAACCTACTGCCACACAACAACTAACATATTATCAAGAGTAACATTGCCATGCATCAAAAACATCTCAGAAACAGCCATCAGACTTACAACCACATGACAGCACCATAGCACACAAAGCAACTAAACCCCTCCAAAACATCTTAAGTCAACCAGTAGCCCAAGAAGAAAAAACAGGGGTCAACACCATGTCAGCCCTGGAAGCCATCTTTTTCATTGGAGCTTCAGGGCTGCCACACTTTGTGCCTGGGAAAATGGGGGATTTCAAGGAGTGGTGGAGGATTAGCCATAACAACATTCCTTTCTCTGGGGGTCAAGGGAACTTGGTCTGCACCTGGATGGGAGTGACTGGGGGTTGTCTCAGTTGGGACAGTAAATTGATTGGACCATGTGATGGATTTGTAGGTGCAGGAGATGGAACTTTGAGGAACATCAAACCTCGGAGTTTTCTTTCATTGGGGGTTACTTGGAATCCTAACATACACACTATACGGACTATTACAAACACTGTGTAAGACAGACAGACAGACAGAAGAGCTATGAACACCAACTAGCACTCAGAAAACATGATAAAAACTCCTCAATATTAGAACACATGGACAGATTCAACATAGTTGAACTAGTAAACTGTGAGCATCCTAGACTAAACTACATGCAAAAACACTATGGTAGCTTGGCATTTAGACAAATCAGTCATTAATAAACACACAGAGGTAAACCAAATTTACACATTATTCAAAAGAGACAATGAAAAGCTTAGAAGGAAACAAAAAGACAAGAACAGGTCCACACCAGCAATTAACACCCAGGTAAAATCAGACAAAAATCAAGCAAAACTAGTACTCTAATCAAGAAACTACCATGGGGGGAAAAAACCACATACTGATCAATAGTGAAAGGGCAAGGTACTGTATATAAGCAGGGAGCAAACCTCACACTCACTAGCATTGGTCAGGTTACCTGGTCTGGTAGTGAAATGTCTGCAAGCAACCGAAGGACTCCACCATTCAACTATATTTGAGTTAATTTATAACAGTTCAGAAATATGGCATCGGCATATGGCATCCACATATTTAAATGTCAGGTTTTATTTAAAAATACACTAATATCTGGAAACAAAATTAGGATACTTAAATTGATTCCCTAATAAAAATAGGAAATATATTTCTTAATTTAGGAAATGTTTGTTTATTGAATCACACCAATCAATTATGTGAATACTTCCACATTTAGCTGTCAGGATATTTCCTCCTGATATTCAACGGCAAAACAAATGTTCAGACTATGGAATTGGATATAACTGAACTATATTACCCTAAGCAAATTATTTTTCAACATGACAGCCAGATGCATTTTAGAGAAAGGAAATGCTGTCATGATTCCCATGGAGAACACATAAAAGTGTTTGAAAGTCTAACTCTGATTACTGATATTTGTTGATGCTCTCTCTGACAGAACCATGAGTTCATTGATGAGCAGATGTTTGAGCAAAACTGCTTGGAGAGCTCAATGCAGAATTACCCATCAACCCGAAGCCCTTCCCTTTCAAGTCAACAGGGCTTGACTACCTCCTGCTGTTCTCGACGTAGTAAGAAGACAACGCACCTCCCCAATTCCAGTGTGCCAGCAACCCGACTACGGAGCATGCAGGAGCTCAGCACCATACATATTCAATGCAGTGAACAACCATCGCTCACAACAAGGTACATTGGAGAAAAGGGTGGGTTCATTGATGTAAGTGGACTAGCATATAGGCATCCAGCCCAAACATGGAAAAGTGGTTTTAGGTACTATGCTGAGTTTGCGTTCAAGATAATTTTCCAGCTTGGAAAAGACTATGTGAAAGTATTTGGAGAATTCTAAAATTTAAATCTGCATTTTCTAATTCCATATTTAGCTGGATGAGGGAATTCTGCCATATGTTTTGTTATACTGTTGTGGCTATTAATGTTAGGATTAAGAAACCAAAAGTAAGATCTTAAATAACAACCACCTTGAGATATTTTGGAATTGCAACTCATAGTATATCCAGGCCACATCCTATTTTTTTTATATATAGGACTTCTCAAAAATACCAGCCTAATATTACTGGAGTGTATCGAATTGAGGAAAAGCTGCCTTATGTAATGGCAAGCATCATCCAGTAAACATTTAAATAACTAACATATCACACTCAGATGTCAGGACCTAACCTTTTGCAGAATGTATTGATCTATTGTATGGACTTTTATGTATTAGATGGCAAGCATAGCAAGAACCCAAAATTTGCTATATAACCTGGATATCTGAGAGACCGCCTCCTGCCACCTACCTCCCAATGGGCGATAAGATCTCACAGGTTGGGCCTTCTCCGGGTGCTGTCGACCAGACAATGCCGGTTGGCGGCCCCTCCGGGGAGGGCCTTCTCTGAAGCTGTTCCAGCTCTGTGGAACAATCTACCCGTAGAGATCCGGACCCTTCCCACTCTCCCACTAAAACCTGGCTATTCTGGCAGGCCTGGGGCTGTTGACTTCACGAACAAGGTCCAGCCCCACCTAGACGGAATGTATGGTGTGTTGTTTTTAAATTTGTTTCTCTTTTTTATTTTTAACTTTTAACTTTTATCTTGTTTCTGTAAGCCGCCCGGAGTCCTACGGGATTGGGCGGCATATAAATTTATTAAATTACTAAATTACTAAATTACTAATTAGTACATTAGCCCAAAATGAAGGCAGACAAAAGCACAGCTTTCAAAAACCAAATCTGGAATTTGTCTTTAATATAAAATATATAATATAATATATGTGAGATCTAATACATACTTTATTACATATAGCTGGAAGACGAAACAAAAAATTCCAAGGGGCTATTTCAAGGAATGCAGCAAAGTCTGATTAATTTTGTTTGAAATGGTTCAAGGTTATGGTTCAATTAAAAACAATGTGTTATTGACTTGACAATAGTTTATGTGGTTCTAATTCATTTTTCCTTTCCTAACTTAAAAAGTTTTCAGTAGCAAAAGAAAAATATATCAATGTTTCAAATGAGTTGGGTTTTTCCTCTCTCAGTTGATTTTTTTAAATCTACTTCAAATTAAAAGCAAATATAACTTCATCCCTTGCATTTTCAGTTAATGGGGCTAAAATGTCAGCTTCTGTTCGCTTTTTAAATGTTATTGAGCTGTCACTTCCTTCTTGGGTAAAGATCCTCGATAGGGCACTAATCTAATTAGTATCAGAAGAAGAAGATAATATGAATTGTTTCACTCATGTACATGGAAGAACCATTTAGAAGCAAGAACAAAGCAGCTACTTTTCTGAAATCAAGTTCATATGAACTTAAGAACGGAGAAATCTGACTTTTCTTTTCTGTATCAAAACTGATTTTCAAGTTCCTAGATTTCAAGATTTTTTTCCCAGTCCTGACCTGCATTCATATGATCAATGAAGTGGTAACTGATCATCTTCTGCTTCACTGAATGTGTCTGCAAAGTCTCAGTACTTAATGGATGGGGATGGTAATTAACAAATTGAGATCTTAATGAAAATGCTCCTCCATTCATTTATCAAATTAATATGGCTATCTATTTCATAAAAAGATACTTAGGGCAGCTTTCAGAAAAAAATAAAAATAAAACAATAAGCATGTTATATTTTTAAAAAGTTTTAAAAACACACATAATAACACAAAATAACTTCAATCATCTATGTTGATACTTAATAATTAAAATGTAAAAAATAAAAAATGGAAAATGGGACACATAATTTAAAAAGAATACCAATTCGTAGCCTGAATCTGCAAAAATGAAGTCAGGAAACTAAGGTACAGAATGAACTAAGACTAGCAACACATACCAAAAATAATTGTAAAAGTTTTTTTCAACATCTAAAAAATATAAAGGAAATGATCAGTTCACTAATGGGACAAGATGGCAAGGACATGACATATAGCAGGGAGAAAACGGAACTGCTTAATTCATTCCTTGCATCTGTCTATATACAAAAGGAAAAAATAGTCCAATGTATCAAAAGTAGTATTGTAGAAGACAGAATAGGAATACAAGTCAAAATAGCCCAGAGAATACCTATTTATTCTAGACAACTTCAAATTGCCGGACCAGATGGATTACATCTCTGGGTTCTGAAGGAGCTAGCAGACATGATCTCAGAACCACTGACCATAATTTTTATTAGGTTCCTGGAGCTCTGGAGAACTACCAGAGAACTGGCATTTTAGCTGCCAAACGAGACCGAGAGGCATTTCATGGTCTTCGCTTTAAGTACTGAGACTTCACAGACATATTCTGTGAAGCAAAAGATGATCAATACCACTTCAGTGATCATATAAATGCCCTGTTGATCTGGTACCTGGGGCCTGGGGCCAAGATCCCAGTCTGGCAACTCAACTCCCTCTTAGGACTTGAATCTTCGTTGATATTTTTTTTAATTCAATCCTCATCCTCTCCTGCAACAGCTCCTACACTGAACTTATTCATAAAAAAGGGAAATTGGGAAACCTTAGGCTCTGAAATGATCGCTGGCAATTGAACCAAATTACCATGCATAATCCTATCCTTTGTCACTCATTTCTGGAATGGTTCTGAAAGGCTTGGGTGTTTATCAAGCTGGACCCTTAGAAAAGCATATAATATAACATACATTAATAAAGGAGATGAATGTGTTTCCCATCCAATGTGAGCATTTCAAATATATAGTCATGCTCTTTGGGTTGACTAATGCTTTCACAGTCTTCCAGCATTTCATGAATGATGCATTCTGACATCTCCGGATCACGTCATTATTTACCTCGTCAGTATTCTGATTTTCTCCTCATCCTGAACAATATATGCAATTACCCACATAAATTCAATGTGAATTACAGTTCTCTACTAGTTGGAATTTATATTATGTTCTGGCTAGTGAGAATCCTGATTAAACTCCTCTTTTTCCATAGAAACTTAAACCTACCCCTTTTAGATAACATACCACTTCCATACAAATTAGATTTGAGCTACATTTATAAACCTTACTTAGGAACATCAAGTCAGGCATAATGCTTTAGGAATTCTTCTATTTCACATATGTATGTACAGATAATAGTATTTATAGACTGCATGGGATAATGTCAAATTTTATCTTTTAAGCAAAGTACAGTAAGCCTTTAGAAATATGACATAGATAACTAATCATAATAGTTGAAGGAGGTTTGGAACTATAATGAGTAGATGTTTTTCTTTGATTGTAGGAAAGCTTGTTTTCTGGGAATATTTTCTAATTAGGAATATGTGAGTCAGCACCAGGTGATGCTTGGATATGAAGGCATACCTGTTATAACAGGAAAGAGGAAAACAAGTTCCAGATAAATATTTAATGAGCATTATGACACAGACAAATTAAAGAGAGAGTTCCTACATTGAGACAGGATTACAAGAGATGGAATAACTGTCTGCCATATTATTAGACATATAGCTTTTGATAGACTGTCTGAGTACAGAACCCTTGCATTTCATTTGCCTTTTGAATCTCCACATTTCAATAAATCACAAGAGAAAGGATCAGGAGGAAAATCCTTCCAGAGAGCTTTTCAGGGTTAGGATAAAGAAGCCTCCAGAGTCATGAGAAGATGGCAAATAATACCACATAGGCGCCTGCCCTTTTCCACTTTACAACAGTAAAATTCAATGCATGACTATGAAGGCATTCTGAACTTGAGAAAGAAAAATAGAAGCCTGCTTCGTAATGGAGGAAGACTCAGGAAAATAAAAGACAAACTTCAACAAAGTATTAGTTTTACTGTCAACTTTTTCCACCAACTTTTTCTCACACACCCCATATTTCAAACATATCCAAAGTTCATAGCAGCTCAAAATCAAATAACTTTATTGTAGTCTTAACCAGCTGAAAGGAGAAAACAGAAAAATAGTTTTCAAATATCATCCCAAAAATTAATAAACAGGAACGACACATAGAAAAATATGCCAAAAATCTTCATTCTTATTAGTTGACTATCCTAAAATATAGAATTATAGAGCCCCTGACAAATCTGAAGAAGATACAGTATAACAGCTGACATAAATAAAAATGACCAGAGGGTAATACTTAGTCAAAGCCATTCTCTACATTAGAGGTGGGAACTACATCCCCTTTTATGACTTGTTGAAGTCTACAAGTCATAAAAAGGCCATAGTTCCCCATTTCTGTCCTACATAAACAATTTCAATTGCTCTTAAGTATTCTTCATCTAATTTTCTTCACAGAACCTGGCAATCTTATATGTTATTTTAGGATTAATATCAGAAAATAAGAACTGGTGATCACTGTATCCTGTTTTACTAATCAGAAGAGGGGCAATTAGAGAATTTCAAGGTGCTGTGTAAAACTGGCAGTACAAAAGAACATGTTCAATAGTTTCTACTTGTACTGAATCACAAGGCCATACTTGTAATTGTTATGGTATCTTTTTGTATCTTCCAGCTAGGAGTGCTGAAGGTAGTGCACCACATCAGGCTAAAGTAAAGAGCCTTCTCTGGTTGGGAATATTAAGAATTGTGAGGTGCAAGGATGTGTCTCCGCCTGTCCATCATGGAAAATGGAGTGGTATTACCCACATCTGTTTGTCAGTTTCTGTCATACAGATGTTGTTAGAGTGTGGTTACAGCCCAAGGATAAGAGATACGTTCTAAAATTGGGAGTTCAAACATATACAAAGTTTGCAGCAGCTCTGTTCTTACCTTTACAATGAACAAAAAATATCTTTTTATCTTATAGTCGCTCCAGCCTAAATATGAAATCAGATGATGGTCTGAGACCGAACTGCAAAGCTGCTCAAATAACCACAGCAATCATCAGCATCCCAACACCACCGGCCCTGGCACCAGAAGGGGAAAACAGACCTTCCTCCTCCAGCCCCAGCCATTCAAGGAACACAATCATGGCTAGCAGCAACATTGTCAAGGTTTCAGCTTTGTAAGACTGGCTTGGTCAAACATGATGGCAGTAGATTGGAAGGCCAATCTTTCTCCCTTTCTCCCCAACTTTCATGTTCCTTCTTTGCTGCAAATTGTGCCTAGATGAATGGCTGGATGGACAATGGACCAACCTGACCAACATCTAAGAACTGAGGATGAGAGCCGAAGGAGGCAGCTTCCTTCAAACTCACATTCATGCTGCAGAGCGAGCTCAGAGGATTCAGGAAGCTGTGTTTGTATGTATGGGTGTATGCGTGTGTGTGTGCATGTAAGAACAGAGTGGCCAAAGGATCTCTCTTTGACAAGTTGAAGCCTTGTTCTAAGACATGAGGCGTAGAATAGTTTTTGGATAGTGATATATAAGTCCTGTCATAACTACAAGAAGGTCAGTAAAGAAGTAGAATTATAACACTGTGTATCTCAGCACCTTTTTAAAGGTTTTTAATGGATAATATTTATTCATGAGGAAATGACTGAAAAAGGTGACCAAAATGGATTTTGTGATTTTTTTTTCTGTCTTCATGCAGCAGGATCTTTTATTAACCAAAATTACTTCTTTATTTTCTTTTATACCCAAACATTTTAAAAAAAAGAATTCATCTTGTCACACAAATTTAATTTTCATTCTTTTGTGCATGTGTACATGCGTGTGTAAGAACGAATAAGAGAACCACAAAACTGGCATTTTCCAACTATGAAAGATCTGAGCACACATTCCTGTTTCTGGGCTCAATCCTGCAAAGACTTACTGTTTGCATGGTCAACAACATGCTTTAAGTAATGCCTGTGGATTCAACGGTTCTACCTACTGTCCATCCCTTTCTGCATGAGTGTGTCTTTGCAGGCTTCAGCCTTTAGTGCGCAGTAGCAAAACAGATGCCTGCATGCAGTCACACACACACACACAAGCACTAATGAAATATTCATTTTAGATGGCACTTTTTCTTAACACAATTCTGTAATTGCCTTTAATTCAACAAAAATTGCAGTTGCAAACAGTGTATTTGTCTGCTAATTATTGTCTGTGAAAAAAAATCATATTTGTGGAACAAAAAAACAGGCTTTCATAGTTCACCACAATTCTTTGCTTTTCGAAGTATTACTTTGGTTATCACAGATTGGTGGTAGAGGATGTGATTAGATTAACTAGTTCTGTATTTTTAAAGTCCAGAAAATGGCCTCAAGAAAATTAACTTTTTTTAAAAAAAATATTCAAGCAAGTTTCAGAGTGCAAAATTATTTGAAGCAGCTGCTGCAGATGTTCATAACTGAAATGTATTCTATGCCCATGCTTTCTTTTATGTTTTATATGTATTTCTTTAATAGTAATGGAAGTGTCTCCCATTGTATATAATAGCCAATAGTCAGTGGATGTGTCCTTTTTAGGACTATTTTAAGAGCCAAAACTTTGCATGGACTGAAAGTGAATCTCATTTTGTAATACAGTCCTGTGGCTCTTAGTGAAACTCTCTGGGTTGCATTGGCTTAATGGATACAGCAATATAATATTTTACTTTCCCTAGAGAAAGCATCATTTCTTTTCAATGAGGAGATGTTGCTTTTAGATTTGGGGGCCTACTTTATATTAGAATTTCATTTCTAATCAATTTATAAAATACTGTTAATAGATGGTTTAAAAATAATCTATGTTTCAGAATAGTTCACCAATTGTTAACTGTTGTTACACTGTTTAGAAAGTTTAGGACTGTGTAGTATAACCATCTAAAGCTTTATACCAATATTCCCCTAATGTCTTTCTCTGGAGGCAAATCTGCGTGGCCACATTTATGCCAAGAAGACACACACTGCTGAATAGCATTGTGAACTGTACTCTTCTTTTCTTACTAAAGTGTACAATTTATTAACCATCTTAGATTTGTTTAATCTTTGACATATCTGATGTCTACAACATGCCGTCTTTTGATATCTTGCTTTCATTTTTATATATCTTCACAAAGCATATAGCCCAAGATATTTTGAGTTAGAATTTGTGTTGCAGAAGGAAGACAGACTGCATGTTCAAGTATTGTTCAGAGGAAAAGGAGAAAACTGTGCTGACAAAGTTATCTTCTGTATTTGCTTTTTGTTTCTTTTTTCACATTAAAATTAAAGTTATCAGATGAGCAATTATTGGAAGCCACTAAATGGTAGAATTCATGTTAATACATCTTAAACTGAGTCTGGAATCAAATTTTTGAATAGGATGTGACCAGTTCTTTGAAAACTGAACTTCAAAGAACTTATAAAAAATCCCCACCTTTGTAAATGTTTCCATTTTGAGTTGTTAAAATGAGGCATTCCTGCACATTGCACCATAAGAGGTCTTATCAATTGAAGGATTCAACTAAGGCAACTCTAAATTCTATCCATTGGCTTATACAAATAGCTGGAACCATGCATTAGGCTAAACAGGAAATTTTGTTAATCTGTTACTTAACACTGCATGGAAACCACACTGTTAACTGTGCAACTTAAAACCTTTTTTACTGTCTTATAATTTTAAAAAAATGTTGGAGATTCTGTACGTCCCCAATATAATGAAAAACTCATTATTTTAGTAATCTGAAGGAGGCCTTAATTTGCCATCCAAAATGTCAGTGCCTGGGTTAACCCTAGGGCTATCTGCAGGTGATTGAAAGAAGTCAGGATGGCAACTATGACTATACTATCTAAGCTGGGGCCCTTTACATAGTTCTTAGGCAAAAAATAAATAAATAGTGAGATCACAGGATAACATACATTATCTGGACATTTTTGTTTTAACTACTCCTGAAGATATTTCTGTTTTAGCGTGTGAAATTATGAACTGACTTTTTTTTATTTCAGAGTTGAAATTCATTTCTATATATTGAACTCTTACTTAGTAACTACCACCCATATCATATACTGTGATGGGGAGAAAGGTTACTGGGTATTGCCTTGTTTTCATAATTTCACTGGTGATGTTGATGCTGATTCTATTACTTGCAGATATGCTAAGCTTCTAGTCTTTCTTTTTTGATACTAGTACATAATCTAAAGAAATTGATCATGCAACTTACAGAAATGCCTTATTGAATCTCTCCTTTGCTTCATTTAGCTTCATTACACCTCATTATACCTTAACAATCAGTTCCTACCTAGGCAATCTGAAGTATATTTCTCCATTCTCTTTAACATACTGTGTTGATTTTTATTCCTATGCAAAGGATAGCTACAGAAATATGAGTTTTGCCCTATATCCAATTCATTTTACCCCATTAGCAGAAATCAGATGTATCTGGTTTGAAATAGCAAATTATGTAAAAATTGGGTTTGGCTCTGTTGAGTTTCAATCTACTCACAGTATAATTTATATTTCTATAGGAAATATTTGGCCCTTTAAATCCCTCCCTTCCATTACAACATACCTTACAAATTTCAATTGTCTCCCCAAAAAGTATAGCAGGAAGCTACACAAAATATAGTAGTAGGCATACATTTGCTGCCTCTGGCCTAGCAATGATATGCAAACCATGGTTTTAAACATAGTTTATGTCATAGTGATGGGTAAACTAAGCTACCATGGCTAGTTTCACAAACCTATTAAAACAAGCCAAAGGATAACTTACATGTTTATCCAACAGAACATTATTATCCAACAATCACTGGTGTTGATATGTATTGTACCATGTATTATACCAGGTGTTGTGGTGGCGCAGTTATTAGAATGCAATATTGAAGCTAACTCTGCCAGGAATTCGATCCTGACCAGCTCAAGGATGATCGAGCTTTCCTTCCTTCCAAGATTGATAAAATGAGGATCCACTTGGGCAAGCTCAAAATCATTTTCAAAATCCTAAAGTTCTAAGTACCAGTATGTGTTCCTGCTATGAAAAATTCAGAATGTTCAGAAAAGTCAGAAATCTGAACCAGATTGGAATCTCATGTACAGTTAATTTGTTGAGACTGACTTCAATAGAAATTTAAATACTATTGCATTCTCATAAATGCCAGTTTCTTTTTGTGAAAAAGAGATTGCCACTATTTAGAAATACCGGGTCTCTTTATCAGACAAGATAACTATTTTTCTAAAACTTGGTGACTAGAGGGCAAACTTTGATTCCCTGATATTTTCATGTGACTGCATCACAATGAGTATGTCATGCTAACTCAAAAGTACCCAGACAATTAAGCCAATGAAGATTTGACCTGGTTCACAGACCTGGTTCACTAACATCCATGTCATTCATTATACCTACTGAAATTGCCCTTTTTTAAATTCATGATCAAGACTAATTTTTAGAAGAGGGCCCACAAAAACTGGCCCTTGCAGCCACTTCATTTTGGTGTTCATTTTAGTATTCATGTTCCTTACCTATAACTACATGGACAGAGAAAAAAAATGGAAGGAATATGTTTGGGCATTATCTGAAGTGGTAAACTTCAATCTCCTTTGGAAGTTGAAATGACATAAAACACAGCTGTCAGCCAGCTAGCCCAAAAATCTCAGGTCATATGCTGTCTGTGCATGCAGAAGAATGAATTGCCTGGAATAGATTACTGGATTGAGTGTCTTGAGAACAAGACCATTATGTAGTCTACATATCTAATTATAGTAAATGTAGTTTCTTATTTTTCTTATTATCCCACCCAACTAGCGTCAATATATATTGCTCATCTCCATGTGGGAATGGAAAACCTTTTTTGTTAATATGTCAAGTGTTTCTAAAACATTCATCTTATTTGACATAATTTATGACTTGTCATGCTCCATCTCCCAAAATCATTGCTTTTGAAACTGATTTTAAAAATACAGAAGTATAACTATATTTAATTTTTGTCTACAAAATTCTAAAGGTAGTGATTTTACATTTCATTACAGTATATATTAGTATCTTGCTCTACCGCCATACATCCAAAAAGTATATGCTTCATTTAAAAGTACAGTTGGCACTGGAATTTTGGTCGAAAAGGAGATGATCTCATTTATATCTATCCTTAAGTACTGATGATGACAAATGAAGGATATACTACATGTATTTGTAAGTGCAACTCTCATATTAAATAATAAGTGCATAACAGTAATTAGATTTTAATGGATCTAAGCTTTTTCTGCCACCAAAATGATTGCCCCACATACTTTACAATTTAGGGAATATCAAATGCATCATGTTTTCAAGAAATAAGATATTATTTTAATTATTTTTGCTGCTATTTTATTATCAATTGAGAAGTAGATACATAGACAAAATGTTAATCTGACCAAAGGCTTTAAGCCTAATTCTTTATTTGACTGTTACTGTCACTGACAATTTTTCCTTCTTGTAACCAATTCAAAGTTGATCTAATATAGTAAAGCAGACTTGGCTTTTTCATTAAAGAATATCATTCTATCTTGTGTTTCAATTTTTCCAACTAAATTCCACTTTTCTTTTCACAATTACAAACTGATTGTGTAAATTGCCTGTTTGGAACATAAGAACACTGAATTTAATATAGCCAGTTAATATAATACAGTTAAGGGAAATAACTGTTAGAATTGCATCTCCCATCCAAAAAATAAGGATTGCAAAAAGCAATAAGAGAGAAAAACTTTAACAGTCTGATTAATATTTCTTACATGGCCAGAATTTTTTCTAGAGGAAGGGTTTTTTTATAACTATGTTTTTAAATGTGTTCAACTGGTGATTGGTTTGCTTCTCCTAGGTAGATGCTTTGAATTAGTTCATAATTAAATTACTGTTCATGTCCATCTCACAAATCAAACGGTTACTCTGTAACCAGGTTTTCAATAGCAATAACCATATTTAAATGCCACGTCAAAACTGAGAAACTTCTATACCAGCTAAGACTATAATCCTCTATATGTCCATTTAAGACTCATTGAGCACCATTGAGCTTCTTTTAGATTAAATGTGATTAGGATCATGCTATATGTAATTGTACGGATCAGAAATGTTGAATCCTGCCCATGCAGCCAATTACAAGTTGCGCTACTTCTAGTGTCAATTTTTTAAAAAATATCACTGCTACTCTAGTTCAGCGATCACTTTAAAAATAATAAAAGCATTTACAGTAAAATATGAGATCCCATCATACATACATGATTGGTTGAGGGTTGTTGTTTCCGCCGTGTCCCCCCCTGCCCGCCCCCAAAATCAGTTAATGATTGAAGCTAAGATGCTCAGTAACGTTAACCCTTAAATCTAACATTTGTTTAAATAAGTACTAGAGGTCTGTACTTGATCCTCGGGAATATTTGAATGCAGTGCTATGAATGAATACTACCAAGGTGCCAGAGTGTATCAATAAAGCTACATTAAAGTCCATGAGGTGTCAAATTTCAGAAATGAACATTGCTAAATCAAAAAGGGAACAACTTTATCTTCATGTCCAGAGAATTGACAGTGAAATTGAAACATCCATTGTGTTTACATTGTGAAATGTAAAGTTCAAGAAGCAGAGTCAGATTTAATGCTAATTTGGCAAAGAATTCTTTTAATAATTTGTTATGGGGCCAAATGTTCAATACCTTTCCGTGGTCTTGGTTGCAGTCAATAAATTCTTAATTTGATCATATGCATGTATGTGCACATTGCTTTTTCTTTTTTTAAAAGCGCTAATCACATTACATTATATAGAAATGCAGATGAAAGATTATAATCTGTATAACTTTTCCTAAATTACTGTTGCAACCATGGCTGGAGGTCCAGCAGCTCCGTAGTCCAATAAAATACACTACAGAATGTGTGCAATGGTATATTTTTGATAAATCAGTGAGACATTACAATGCAATTATGTTTGCATTAGAGGTTTTACGTTGTTACCAGACTTTTATCTCAATTGTATTATTTCCTATTTTCATACTCTAAAATGGGCTTTGCTTACTACAAAACATCATACCCAAGACAAACGTACTGTACAAAACTGCAGATAGATTCATTTGACAAAACTTTCTAAAGGATTCTTAGTTTCTTGTTGTCTTTTTTTGGAACTGTAGTGCTTATGTTGAAACTTGTATATCATTTACAGTATTGTGTCTTGTGTCACTGCTGTACCTGATGTATCCATTCTGGATTAAATGAATTATGTGCCACAAAATATTCAACTCTTGCGGAACACTTTTTTAACTGATGTCATCTTTTTGATTAAATCATCTACTCTACTCCAAGATAACATACATCACAATCGTAACTTTGCCAGATTTGATCAAAAATCTATCTAGTTTGGTTTCTTACTTCCAATATAGACAATTACATTGTTCCAAGAAATTTGTAGCAGATTTTATGTGAAAGCAGTAAGCAGTATTCAATAGCATTTTGTAGGTAGATACACTATTTAGTCGTTACAGCTAATAAATTTTGATAAATAAATCTTGTTCAATCCTAAAGCCATCTTCTAGCAATGACTTATATAAAACTCAAAACATTTGATATGAAATATATTTATCAATAATACATGTCCTCATTTAATGCCATTTAATGTTTTGGGTGATTTAATTCTAGTATTATGAACATTACAGAAAAGCTCTTGATATTTTATCAAGATTATACATTGTACAAACCTGCGCCTGCTTCTTCACAAATTGTATGAACTTTAGTACGGCATACTTCTAAATCAAAATGGCAATATTGTTAATATTCTTATAAGGTGGTATAACAATTCCTGAAGATTGTAAATAGGATTGCAGTCTTGTCTCCTCCTCCCCAAAATTATATTTAATTAAAGATCGAGAAGAGAAAAGCTGATAAAGAGAAATATAGTATATCATGGTTACAATAGTTGCACAATGAAAATGAAGTCTGCATTTTTAGTAGAAAATGTTCTACTTTAATTGTTTTCTATACTGTGTTGAAACTCCAAATGCTGAAGGAACAGAACAGTACAATTTATTTTTAACTCTTATCCTCCACATAACCTTACATTCATAACTGTAGAACAGAAAAGTTAATCTAGCTGTTTTTAATTCTGAGAACATCTTAAATTCAAAATAATCTTATGGACCCAGCTTTTAATTTTAGATTTAAAACTATAGTGTTGAAAATATTGGAAAGTACATATCTAATAATTAACAATTGTTCAATGTTTGACTTTACTTTGTACCTTAATTAAAAATTAAAAAATATTCATATGCTAACAGAAGTGTTAAAGACAAACTTCAAAGTTCCAAAGGAAAAAAAAGAAGAGCCTAACACAGGCAAAACTGAAATGTGTCGATTCTCAAACTGCTAATGAATGAGGTATGAATTATTTCTAATTACTAAATAAAGATAAATTACTAAAGATAGGACTGGTATATATTCTTTTTGTACATTGTAAGTCATTTTTACATCCAGGCAGCATCATTTTGTAAAAGTAATTATAGGTTAACAGGGTAAAAAGTATGCTTCTAGGTTAAAGATCTGTTGAAATGGCACTCCAGTTGATTATTAGCACAGCAGCCTTTGAAAATACCGTCATGCTAGATGAAATCAAGATATATCTGGTTCCCTATGGCAAAGTCAAGCCTAAAGATAATGGAAATTGAACAGTAGGTCATACTTGTTGCAAGTTTCAGAGATTGCATTGATTTTTAATGAAGCACTTTACCTGTGCTTCATTTTACTCTTTACATTTCAAGAGGATTTTGAACAAAGTTTAGCAGTGGTCAGAATTCTTTCTCTTATTTTCTGGAATTTTGGCAGTTAAATAAAATATAACATCACCTCTTTATGCTTTTTTAAATATCCTGTTACAATCTGGGCACCAATTATTTCTCTTAGCTTGCTTATGTTGCTCATGTACAAAAGCAACTATGTGGAAAATTTATTATTCTGGGCTATGCCATGTGGTCTGAAGATCAGAGGCATACCAATAGTTAAGCATGTTTAGAATTATCCACTTTAAAAAAAAATAACAGGAAACTCCATATAAATACTACAGTACTGGGAAAGATGAAAAGGAATTTAAAAATCCCGCATGCAAAACCTTGTCTGATGAGGAATGCAAAAACCTGGAAAAACCTTTACCCACCATAAATATTACAATGAAATAGCAGCAGGCTTTATTCTTGTGAACACATAATGCTCAGTAAGTATGATACTCCATGCGCATATATAAATCATGATGAAAGTTATTCATTTGAATGACATGATTACTTCTATATATGTAAAACAACACACAGCAGAAAATCAGGTCCTTGTACAAAGGAAAATCATGAGAGTTCTAACATAACAATTGTATTGAGTAAAAGCAAAGGAAGGAGAAGAGTATATGTCTCAAGATTCTACACAGGTTGATAAGCAACAAGGAGACAAGATTCTCTAGGTACTAGAATTTATTTTTTGCACCTTTGAGTCAGCAATCACTCCTGGCAACTTCCTGGACTAGTGCTTGCGATTTTCTTGGAAAGATTTCAGAAATGGTTTGTCATTGTCTGCTTCCTAGGGCTGAAAGAATAATTGGCCCAAGGTCACCCAACTGGCTTTGGGCATAAGGCGGCATTAGAACTCAGACTCCTGGTTTCTAGCCTGTTGCTTTAACTACAGCACCAAACTGGCTCTTATACCAGAACTTAAGACATCTACCCAACTCAGTTTCAATTATGAGATGCTAGATATAAAACAACTGAAACAAAGTAGGGAAATTAGTTTTGGAGCTAATTTGATAATTTCACTTCTGATTAAAGTTTTTGCTTATTTGTAGGACAACAAACTCTAGAAAACACACTTATGTATAACACACAAGAAAAATGTTGTTCCATCAATAGGATTTTGAAAATTAGGGCCCATGTAGCAGATTGACTAGATCTACTAAAAGTTCACTGAATGAATTTGAATCACACATTATCTCAGGTTCACTCAATGTATGACTTCTTTACAAGTAAAATTGGAGATATCAATACAAGTATTATATTGGCAAACAAGATAAAATAAATACATTAATGTATGGGTGTTCTTTTTAAATATAGAAATTTATATTTCATGTGGTTTTCAGCAACAAAATGAACAGGACTACATATACTAGCAGTCTCAATAGCACCACCTATTGAACACTGTAATGAGAGGAATCTTAAATGTTTTATCCAAGACTAGATCATGCATAAAAGCTTTTATCTGAAAAGAATGCATTCTAAAATCCTTTAAATGGTTTAAGAACATTATAAAATCTAGACTAAACCTTTATATTTCTCTAGCCAACTAGGCTTTGTTCTGTTGCCCCTACTATTTTCTTATAAACATTTAATAATAGCAAATTGGGGAAACGAAGGGGAAAAAACGGCATTCTGGTCTATGGAACTTTATGACCAATCAAAAATTTTTTCAAATAATGATATATTTTTTTTAGGATAGGAATATGTCTCAAACCCATCTTTCACACTTTTGGAAAAGCACCGTGATTGTATCCAAAAAGT